TCAGTCGCAGCCGTGTCAGTCGCAGCCGTGTCAGTCGCAGCCGTGTCAGTCGCAGTCACGGGCAGCTCGCCGTCTAGCACAGACAGCACTTGCTCCGCTCTAGCAACAGCCTGCCGAAAGGCAGTCCCTCGGGCAGCGAGGACGTTCAGATCAACCTCTTCTAGCTCCCGCTCCAGCGTGTATGTATCATCGTCATCCTCATCGACCGGTTCGTCATCTGTGGCATCCGGTACATCGGAGACGTCACCAGGCACCCGTGCCGGTGTGGGTGTTCCCGGGCTGGTAATCTCGGCTGGCCGCTGCCCCTTCGGTCGGCTGGGGGTGAAGGGGGCCGTGGCCGTGGTGTCCAGCCCCAGATCGTCCATGTAACCCGTGCAATTGAGACGCGACGTGGTCTGGCCGAGAAGAGTCTGAAGGTATTTGGCCGCCGCACGCTCAATGGACACCTGCTCGCTCATCTCCTGGGCCGCGTGGGCAAGCTCCTCGGCATCCGACTCCCCATCAACCGATTCGTCGTCATCGTTCCCCCCGGGAGGTGTGCCGGTCGCCAGAAGCCCACGCAACGCGCCGTAAAGGACGCCCGCAACCTCGGGAAGTGCCTTCTGCATGTTATTCCACTCCAGCCAGCGCTGGATCGTGTGATCCAGAAACAAAATCCAGACCCGCTGGGGCTCTGCTTGTCCCACCCGATGGACGCGGCCGCCGCCCTGCCAAATCCCGGCGAGATTCTGCGGTGACTCGACGCAGATGACCCTCGAAGACTGGCTGTGTAAGTTCAGCCCATATGCGCCACAGGCATATGTGGTGACGAGGGCCCCGACACGAGCGTCTCTCTCACAAAACTTGCGGGCAATCGCCGCCCGGGCCTCGGTGGTAGTCGTGCTGCGGATCGCTAGGGTAGGTACACCAAGGCTTTCCAGCAGCATACTAACCACCCACGTGGTTAAAGGATTCTGGCAGAAGATCAAGAAACGGGGGAGCCGACGGCCGTCACGCAGAGCGTCAAACATCCCCTGCTCCTGGAGGATCCGAAATATGTACCGTAGCTTGGGACTCTCACTCAACAAGTATTTGGCTTGGGCAAACCGCGTCAGAGGCACCGTGTCGGATGGTTCACGTGTAGAGTAGTGCCAATAGGCCGCAAAACCCCCGTCTGCCCGGGTCAGGTATCGGGACACCTTCGACACAACAGTTTTCTCCACCCCAACACGGGAGACGAATCTCTCCAACTGGGGGCTGAAGGACAGAAGGCTCAGGAGGCGGATCAAACCCCAGTCACGATGGCCGCCCTCCGACTGGGGATTATCCACGGTCACTGGCTCACCCTTGCCCTTCGGTGGCTTGGCCATCTTAGCGACAAGCTGAAGAAAGCGCTGATTGTGGTCCCTGTAGCAGAGCGGAGTGAACTTCAGATCAATCGTCATATAGCGTATCGGGGGGATATTCTCTCCGATTCGGCCGTAGTCAGTCTCCTGACCGACCCGCCGCCGCAGGGACAGAAGCCGCATAATAACCGGCAGAACAAAAAACCCAGACCGAGGGGAAAGCTGGCCGCCCCGCGCGACTTTCAGAAAATGTTTCGGCGCGATCAGCTGGTAGGGGGGGCTGTCCCATTCGGACTGCGCCGCAAATCTTTGGTATTCGGCAAGCCAGTCATCAACGGACTCGGTCGAGTCTTCCTCCCCGTTGGGGTCACCGCGACTGTCCACATAATGTGCATACAGGATAGCGAGGTATCCGAAGATATCTCGCGTGTTGTTGACGAGCGGGGTAGCGGTCAGAAACCAGACGGAGTCCGTATTCAATGAACGCACACTTTGGTGCGCACGCGTCTTGATCGTCTTAATAATGTGCCCCTCGTCACACACCACGTGGGCGAAGTGAATGGGCATACGTGAGCGGTAACGGGGAAGGTTCGGGGCCCGATTTCGACCAGAGCCGGGCCCAGCGTTGTGGCTCTGGTCGAAATCGGCCTCGGCGTCTGCCTCTTGTAACTCCTCCATCTCACAGATCTCTTCGTAGTTTAATGACGCCTGGTCGTCATCGGTGGCGTCATCGGTGGCGTCATCGCCCTTGCTGACGATCTCATCGAGCGTCCTGGCCGCCCAGGTAGTGTAGGAGGACAGCACAATGGTGCGGGTTGTTGCAGGGTCATTCGGGTCCAGACGGCCCAAGGTATCAATCAGCTGGCTCCTGTTGTTGATAATAGCCTGCTTGTATGCCAGGTCGCCGGTGTGAGCGGTTTGCCCATGGAAGAGGTGCACCGTGAACCGCGCCTTGAAATGGGTCTGAATCTCCGTGAACCACGTGTCGATGAGCGCGGCGGGACAGAGGATAAGTGCTGGTCGGTGGATGGTGCGCCGTTCGCTGTCCCGGTCGATCGCTGCCAGGGCGGTGACGCTCTTTCCCAGGCCACAGTCGTCGGCCAGTACACCCCCACGAATGGGGCTTCCATCTGCAGTTAACAGCCAGTACACACCCACCGCCTGCGACGGGAGCAGGTGCAGGCGAGTGCGCGGCCACGCCAGGGTATCGTCCAGATCCAGATACTCACGTGCCTGGGCTAGGGTAGCCGGAGTGGCCGACAAACTATCGGTGCCGCCGCCGACACCATCAGTTGTCTCTAGGGGAAGGACACTGGGCTCGGCGTCGCGCTCCGCCAGGGCAGCCTGGGCGTCTACCCGTGCGGCCATGGTCGCAATGCTCTGCATGTCTGCCGTGTCAGGGACTGCAGTATCGTCTGGCTCATGGACAATGCAGTTCTTTTCAAACCTCCCCTCGCGCATGATATGCTCGTAGAGAGCCTCCCGATGCGCATAGTCCAGTGGCAGCTTCGTCCGGCCCTCGGCCCGGGGGCGGTTCAGTGCATCGGCAAGATTCCGGTCCAGTGCCTGTTCGATTGTCTGGGCGTCGTCTTGGCGGTTGTAGAAATGATCGTGCGCAAATAGCACATCCTCTTCCTTTAATCCGAGCAGGTTTTCAAGATCCACCGGCTCATTGTCGGGAATAGTATCGGGGGCATCGGCATTCGGGTTCGTGTGCCAGACTACCGCATCTGCCGGCTTGTTCATCGGCTTGGCCGCGATCTTGTTGCTCGATGTCTGTTTCCAGAAGAAAGCAAAGATCTTCCAACCCCGAATGACATCATAGGGGTCGAGAGCAATCTCGTCGGACTCCACAGAGGACTGCGGGAAAAGGCTTGGTTTGACGCGTATCAGTCGGAGGATAGCCCACAAGCATGTGGTCCCGGCAAGCGTCTCTTCGGTGATCCCGTGGCTACCAACCTTGGGGGGCACAGGGCGCAGCATGTGTGGGATAGCAGGGCCGGCTGCCCACTCGACAATGGCCATACGCACCGAAAGGCGTCCCTTGGCGATATCGGGATGTCCGAAGTTCTCACGGCGGTGCTGTATCCACCAATCGATGATCTGTCTGGTGCCTTCCTCTTGGTGGAGCCCCCATACCTCTCCAGTATTGGCCAGTCCAAGGGCACCTGCTAGCTTGCGGGCACTCCCCTCCAGTTCCTCAATGAAGTTTTTGCACCAAAGTACCCCTGGAATGCCGCTTGGTGCGGTGGGTTTCTTCCCGGGTGCGGTCGGTTTATTCGCCGGTGCACTCATTCTATGTGTTATTAGTATGTGGTCAGGCGATGATCGAGGAGACCATTTCGACCGGAGCCCGGCGAGAGAACTGGCTCCGGTCGAAATACGTACCTGAATGTAAAGAGTGGAGCTTGGTCTGAGCGTGGGTCTCTGTGGAGTCACGGCTCTAGAGGAGTGGGTCTCTGTGGTACGGGAATTGGTATCATTGTATTCATGTAGCCAAGTGCCCGGTAGCTTAGGTCGAGTCCTTGGTCCACCAGTCCTCTTCGACCAGAGCCAGTGGGATGGAAATGTTGGGGGGAGATAGGACTTACCAGGTAAGAAAACACGGAAATAAGCGAAGGCGAGGGTAGATAATAGGCAGTACAGAAGACACGCAGAGCGACCGTGAAGAGGGCGTTCTAACACCTCAAAATCACTGCTTTCACGCACGTGGTGGAGGTAGTCCACAGTCCTAGCGGCGTCAGGGGGTAGGAGTATGATGAGGTAAAGGTAACGGCCAGGGAGAGGTGCATGCGACGTTGAGGGAATGGTAAAGGTGAGGGAGGGGGGGAGAGGTAGAGACGAGAGAGAGGTAGAGATGAGAGAGAGGTAGAGACGAGAGGAAGAGGAAGAGAGGGGGTATATCAAAAAGCTAGCCATAGTCACCTGATCTACATTCACTGGTAGATGTCAGAATGTCGGTGTTGATGCCAAAGCATTCACTCGATAGAGAGCGTCTGTAGGGGTGTGGAAAACACTGGCGCTCATTGGCGGTGGCAGATATCTATATATATCTTGGCATCGGCTCCGGTCGAAGTCGGGTGGTGGAGGAGACCGGGCGATCGATATACGGGACGAAATGGTCAGTGTATGCGCACGAGCAGTGGGAGACGGCCACTGGTGGTGGTGGTAGGACTGGACTGGTACGGAATTTTTAGATTGGATACTGCGGGTGGTGATATATCTAGTGGACCAGGGATCAGGGGGTGTATTTCAACCAGAGCCTCCTAAGGTCTTATACGGCTCCGGTCGAAGAAGGCCCCTAGTTAATGGGCCTGTTTATCAGCATTGGTAGAGGGTGTTGGTTTGTAATACGGCGAATAGGGCTGGTTGTATTACCCACACGACTCCTCATTCCCAGAACAGAGGCCGCAGACCCACCATGGCATAGGGTGTATTCGGGGCTTCGAAATCCCCACTCAATTGTTTGTATGTCGCACCAGGCCCGTTTGGCATTGTATTCCGTGGGGCTTTATTACTACCGGTGATTGATAGACAGACCCGACGCCTTATTATGGCGGAGCATACGGGTACATATCTCAAGTCCTGGTGGGGGCACACAACCCAACAGCCATAGACTGCCCATCTCAGAGTATATAGCGACCCGGTGCAATACCGGGATTGATAATATAGGCTGTTTGGAGCGGAGATGGCGGCTACACCAATGGCGCTTACCTAAAAAGGAATACGGGTAATAGTACAGTTAGTCAAATAATCAATCCAAGAAGAACCATCTCCGACATCCCGCCACATGGCTCATGCATAAGGCAGCGAACCCGGGGTACTACAATCCAATAACATATCGACCGTTTGCTACGGACGCTGGGTCAGTGGGTGTATGGTGGGGGGTAGAGGGGCCCCATTTCGACCAGAGCCGGCAGAGGATAGGGTGGCTCCGGTCGAAATGGGGCCCTGTGGCCCACCCTGCGGACTGGTGGCCCGGGTTTATCGGCCATAGGGGGTTAAACTGTACGAGATTATCCTAATACTGACTAGATAGAATCCTAATCTACTGCTGCTACGCATTTACTGGCATGGGGACGGCATGAGATTCAGGGACCTTGGGGGATCAGTATAAATTGGTCTGGCTGGTAAAAAGTCTGCCATGGGCAGATCTGTCCACCACTGCTCCTCTGGGGCGCTCAGTCACTGGGTATATATATATACATACAATATAAATGGTGGGGATGTTGGATTTTGCCGGTGGGGTGTGGCTAGAGGGCTGATGTTGGACAATATTCTGTCTATGACTGTATGGACTTCTTGTACCAGCCCTTGTGAGTGACAGTCTTTGGGAGTGCGGGTTAGAATGAGTCTTATACTGTCTTGAGTATAGATCTCTCTGGGGATCATTCATATGCAGAAATTCCAGAGGCAGTGTCTCCAGTATGCTGACAAGGATGTCCAGGTAACAGAGTAGAGTACCTCGGGCCGATCAGTACGGCTGTGGGAGCGATAGCGGTCCAGGAGGCATTTACCAGTGTGATTACCATCTACCTGGGCCCCGCAGTATGGGTAGCAAAAGACGGATACTGGATTCAAGGTAGGCTGCATCATCTGTGCCCGCATGCAGGCGGTACACCGGATATATACTGAAGAGGGACAGTATTATCTTCCTTGTTCAGAAGAGCTCCCGTGGTAACTTAATAAATGAGATAGAGCTGTGTGGTAGACAACCATCTCTATTTCGGGTGACTCTCCTGCCCCGGTAAAGGAGATGCACGGGCTGGGAACAGCTAAACCCGACCTGCACCAATCGGTATTAATAGATGCAGTGAAGGCCTAATAATCATTGGGGGTGAGTATTTCACCCCCCTGAGGGTCCAAGCTAATAGGCCAATGACACAGGACACCCTAATGTAATGATTATCTGGATTACTCCCGGACAGGCCGCCCGGCTATGGTTAATATGAGATCGGGAATTCCCCCCGTCATTGGATGAAGTCCGTTTCTGGTGGAAGGCAAGGTACCGGACTCGGTCGGAGGCTGGCTACGAGGATCCATGCCATGCGGACTGTTTGTGTGGTAGTCGAAAGTAGCTACCAGCAATAGTCATATATATATATATATATATATAT